CTGCTGAGCCCATCTCACCTGGAAATTGCTACTGGCAATTTCAAGACATAAGGAGCTACATAAAATGGCGAACCAAACTTGTACAAACACTGCTGAAGTGTATAAACATTATCAGCAACAGGCTTAACATCCTCCAGCCAGTCTGCTCAGTGATCTAAACCAAGACATTCTCCCTCTGTTCCCAGGTCTCAGACTCCTGTTTCCTCCATCCCCGTCTGGGCCTCCACCTTAGGAACCCAACAGCAGTGCGTGCACACACACACACCCCAGCCCAGCTAACTCCAACAATGCTGCCAAAAAGAGTACCCAGGATGCAGCTGTGCAGGGGTGCCCCAGGATGCAGCTGGGAAAGGATGCCCTAGGATGCAGCTGGGAAGGGGTGCACCCCAGGATGCAGCTATGAAGGGGTGCCCCAGGATGCAGCTGTGCAGAGGTGTCCCAGGATGCAGCTGTGCAGAGGTGCCCCAGGATGTAGCTGGAAAGAGATGTCTCAGGATGCAGCTGTGGCCCTGCACACTGCTAAAGTGGTTCAGTGCCTCTGAAGGAGTTCAGGCAGTGCTGCTCAAGGTCTGGCCCCATCTGCTTAACCAGCTTCATCATTTCAGGACTCCTGCTATTGGGTACCACGGTTCCATCTGGCCCTTTCCAGCTCCCTGGCTCTGTTCTTGCACCACAGGCCAGGTCTTCCAGCCTCCTCCATCCAGAAGCCCCTTTCTTCACTCTGTACTACAGAACCCTTGTATACTCCTTCAGAAGCTGCTCTTAGAGATGTCCTGAGCCCTCCTGCCTAGGTTTCTGTAGCCTGTTGGGAAGAGGTCTGGGGTCAAAGAACATATCCCAATGGCAGTGTGTGCAGCAGAGTTCACGGCCACTGCTCAGTGCTGTCTGACCAGACCAGACCGTCTGCCTGGTGATCTTTCTTCCTCTGTATCAACCCAGCACAAATCCAGATTCAAAACCAAACAAAAGCTGGTGCAGTGGCACACACCTTTAATCCCAGCACTCATGAGGCAGAGGTAGGTGGAGGCGGATCTCTGTGAGTTTGAGGCCAGCCTGGTCTACAGAGTGAGATCCAGGGCAGCCAGGGCTACACAGAGAAACCCTGTCTCGAAAAACATAAACCAAACCAAAACAAAACAAAGCAAAATAAACAAAAAAAATCTGAAAGCACACTATCCCCTACCCAGGCAAAGCAATGCAAGGCTCTTAATTCTTACCTCTCGAAGCTTAGGGTTGTTTTTTTTCCAGTGATCATATAAAAGTTGTTCAGCAATCTGTCAAGAAAACACAAAAGGAATCTGACATCGCTGTTCAAATCCATTCATTTACACAAAGACAGAAGAAGTCAGTTGAGGCCATGACCTTCTCCATTCAGCAATATCAACAATCTGCCACTTAAGTCTGCTTTCCTTATACACACAAGTCTGGGGACAGGACATCAGAGCAGAATGGACCAAGAGTTAAGATCTGATGGTATGGCTTGGTCCCTTCTGGGAGTCTCCAAATACACAGCAAGTTGAAACACACAGACACTAGTTACCATAGCCACTTGATATAAAATAGTGTTCCCAGGCTTCTGTGGGACCACAGAACTGAACAGAGGAAGGAAGATTCACTCACAGTGACTTATAAGGCCGAGAAGGGAGCTACCACACACCAAACACTTCCCTTGAAGGCACTAAAGTGGGGGTGCTGGCCTTTTGTCTGCCCTCACTCTTGCTGGCAAGCTCAGGTTACTACGGTTGGTATTAACTCCAGCTTCTTACTAACAGAAAACTGTAAGTTAACCAGGCAGCGGTGCTGCACACCTTAATCCCAGCACTCAGGAGGCAGAGGCAGTTGGAGGTGGATCTCTGTGAGTTCAAGGCCAGCCTGGTCTACAGAGTGATTTTCAGGACAGCCAGGGCTACACAGAGAAACTCTGTCTCAGAAAAAGAAAAAAAAAAAAAAAAAGAAAAAAAAAGAAAAAGAAAGGAAAGAAGAAAGAATATGAAAGAAAGAAAGAAAGAAAGAAAGAAAGAAAGAAAGAAAGAAAGAGAAAGAAAGAAAAGGAGAAAAATCCTCCCAGACTTTAGCACCAGGCCAGATGTGCAAAGATATCCAAGCCTCGTGGGCTTGACAACTGCTGGTTCCTTTGTCTGTCTGTTGCGAGACAATCATTGTTGAAATACCTAACTACATGCTGAAAGTGCCAACAAGACATGGCTATCCTCCCCACCTTGTACAAATCTTTAGTGGCTGAATCTGAACTATTCCCCAGGCTTCACATTTTAGATTCTTGTTCCCAGTCAGGTAGGTTATTCACCTTTGATCCCAGCGTGAAGAAGTGAGACTTTGAGGCCAGGATGGTCTACAAAGAATGTTCCAGGCAAACCAGGACTGCATAGACTAGTTCAAAACAACAAACCCAACAGCAAAAATAATAGCTCCCCAGCTTGTGGCACTATTCAGAGAAGCTGGGGTACCTTTAAGGGATGAGGAATTAGCTGGTGGCAACAGCCCACTGGGGCATGTCTTTGAAGGTTATAGACTAACCCTCCTTCAAAAGTGCCCTCTGCTTCTTGAATGAACGTGATGTGAGCTCCAGTGGGCATGGCCTTCCGCATCGTGGATGGCTTGAGACCCTCTAAAACCATGAGCCCAAATAAACCTTTTCTCTCTAAAGAGTGCTTTTCCCATGGCCTCTACAGTCACCTGGTCATCTCATCTGACCAAGGCTCCCAAGAATAACCCCACAGATGCAACCATCGGCTCACGCCGTGGACACTCTCACTCTAACCAAGGCTAGGTACCAGTTTCCTTCGCTCTTCCCGGGCTGACTTCAGATCCCTGTGCTGTTCCTGGATTCTTTGTTCCCGCACGCTCATGTTCAACCTCAGCCCTTTCAGCTCAGCGGCCAGCAGCTCCTGCTCCTCCAGCACAAGCTGCCTGAGTCTCTCACGCCGGGCTTCCAGACTCATCCTCTTCTCCTCCTTCATCTTCTCACGATGGTAGGCGTGCATGCTAGGTAAGGAGCCCACTGTTCATCAGCCACACCCAGGCCAAAGTTTCATATGCATTTCTACATAAATTGTGGGGGGCGTGTATTTAAACACAAACACCTACAGAGAAAACAACTGCTCTGCATACATTTTATTTTTCAAAATACATGCTATTTCACTGGTTATTTCCCCCATACACCCCATTTTCCAGCTAGAATAGCATCACCACGTGGATTACTCATGCTGTCATAAGCCACAGTCCCTAGGCCCTGAGGCCACATCCCCTGAGCAGTTAGCGGTAGGAACCAGCAGGCAGGACACACCAATACTTGCCTCCGCTGGTAGGAGGTCTCGGAGCTCCATTGCGCCTGTTTGGAGCTGTGGATATCCGAAGTCCTGAAATAACGGCTGTTCTGTTCCCACTGCTGGCGAAGTTGGGCCTCCTGCTCTCGCTGGCGCTGGCGAGCTACTTTCTGATCCTGGGGTCTCTTCCTGGACCAGTAAAAGGGCAGCGTGGGGAGTGCCATCTGAAGGGACATCGGTGGGCAGAAACTGAGCCAGCTCCAAACTCAGGAACCCTCACTTGAATGCTCTCCTCTCTTTTATGAGGGGCGCTCGACCTTTGGCTGCACCTTTTGAACAGCTTTAAGACTCACATTCCCACCCTAGAACTGACTGACTGAAACTTTAGAACGAGGCCCATGCCAGCATGTTTTAATGATGTGCCACTAAGGATGCAAAGTATCAATTTAAATAAACCTGGACTGTGCCCAGCAGCGGGCCAGCCATTGTCAGGGACGTTACAGACACAAGAATTGTCCTGACAAGGCTGGAGTAGGCAACTGGGGATTTTTACACTCTGCATAAAATTACAGGGCGCAAGCAGGTCTCAGGGGCATGCCCCTGCAGTCCCAGGTACTTTGGAGGCGGACACAGGAAGAGATAGTTTGAGTTCAGGAGTTCAAAGCCAACCTGTCTCAAAAACAACAAAAATAACCAGAGACAATGATGTAAAGGTCAGTATGCACCAAGCACCTGACATACAACTTTTTACAGGTCCTGAGCGGCACCCGAGTCAGGTCAGTCCCCCGGACCTCTCTAACCTGCGACGATAGAGGACGCCTCGTCCTGCCCCTCGGCCCAGCCTAACCTCAGACTTGCACTTCTCTCGAGTTCGCGAAGAGTCGCCAGCCTAAGCTCGAGCACGCGCTCACCGGATCCGAGAGTCCCGCGGCGCCCGGGGCAGCAACGCCAGCCGTTTCCCGGTCGGTTGCCCGGCAGCCCGCCGGATCACGGAGCGCCGCGAAGGCCAAAGTACTTGCAGCGCAATACGACCGCTCGCTTGGAAAAAGAAGTAGTGGGGAATTTTACTCTGGCGCCCCTTCGTGGTGGGAGGGAAATCGACAGTAAGTTTTGCTAGTTCTTGAAGTAGGGAAAAGGGACGGGCCAAGACCAGTCTGTAAAGTGTTTCAGTGGGTGTCCCCATCATGGTCTTGACCTCTTTGCTCATATTCTCACTCCTCCCACTCTTCAGCTGAACTGTGGGGCTCAGCCCAGTGCTCCACTGCGGGTCTCTGCCTCTGCTTCCGTCAGTTGCTGGATGAAGGTTCTATGGTGACATTTAAGATACTCATCAATCTGACTACAGGGCAAGGCCAGTTTGGGTATTAGTATGTAAAATGAAAAAAGATAGTGTTTTCTTTTTTAAAGTAAAGTAAAGTAAAATAAAATAAAATAAAATAAAATAAAATAAAAAGACCAGTCATGACCCAGAGTCAGGGAGTAGGGGAGATGAGAGTTGGAAGTGAAGGGAGGAACATCAAAATCATCCAGGGAGCTGCCCAGAGTGAAAAAAATAAATGATTTTCAATGCTCCCGGAGTGTGTCCCATAGGCAACGGAGGCCAAGAACCGCTGGTCTCCATAGTTACAAGTCACTGGTACATTTCTTCTGTTGTCATAGTTCAGAGGTGGAGTCAAAGATTTTAATAACTGTAATGCAGTTATTAATAACTGATTGGACATATGTATGCATTAACTATTCCATTAAAAATAAAAAAACATGGCTGGGGAACTCGGGGATTGTGTATGCTTAGCATTCTCAAAATTCTGAGTTCAATCCCCAGCACCCAGCACCCCCAAAACAATGGAAGAATACAGATAAATATAAAATATACACCATTCATTCCTTTTTCTTTCATTTTCCCACCCATTTCATTTTTTCATCCCCTCACTCCTCCATTCCTTTTTTTCCTCTATTTCTCACGGAGGCCATAGAGAGTTGTTGGGCCTCTACGACCAGGTTCAAACCTGCAGCATGCTAGATATCTTCACTTCACCCTCTGACCCCAGGGTCCGCTAAGCATCCTTGTAAGAGAGGGAAAGGAGGTTTAACTGGAGGGTGTGGATGGAGTCAGAGGTCTCGGTGCATCCCACAAGTACAAAGCGGATGTGTTTCTGCTTTCCTTCAGATGCGAGGTGTTTACTCACGGAACACCTGCTCCATACACGAATATCCCCATGGATGTCCTACACCCCTGCCATCTCCCATGCTGTATCTCCAATGAAGGGGAAGCGGAGTCACCCCGACCCACCCGCAGCTGTCAAGGCAGAAAAGGCCATCTAGCCTTTGTAGGAGCCCAATACACGTCTGTGTGTGTTGAAAACTTCAGACATGCATGAGTTAAATCCAGAGGGACCTGACTTTGAGCCCTGATTTGTCTTGGGCAAGCCTGTTCCCCTTTCTGGGCCTCAGTTTCTCCAAAAGTACAGTTGCCAGATAAATACAACTAGAGGGATTTTAGGACTTGACTGACCAGCGTATCCTGATCCTGAAGGTGCTGTGACCTCTGGTCCTCCTCCGTTTCTCCTCCTCCTCTTCCTCCACCACTTCCTCCATCTCTTTCCTCCTTCTCCTCCTCTCTTTGAAACAGGGTCTTGCCGTGTAACCCAAGCTGGAACCCAGTATGTAATGTCTACTGCCCTCATACTGGGGATCTCCCTGCCTCTGCCTCACAAGTTCTGGGGCTACAGGCATGTGCCTCACATGGAGCCTTTACCTGGGTCTCTTTTACTGTCCAACCCAATTTCGCTGGCCCCCAGAGTTCCTGTTTCAGCTGCGTGATTATGTGGCTGCCACCTACAGCTCATTAGCATCTTTATAAATTATCTGTGCTACCTGGAAATCATGAGCGATATTTGATTAAACCCATTTTAGCTTCACTTGATCTTCACTCGAGTGTTCTTGCTTGCCTGGGGAACCATAGCAGAGAGATATGAAGCTGGGATTTGAACCAAACTCCACAGAGACCAGATAACATGAGGTCTACTCTCCAGTAGCCCTCCATGCCCCCAAAGAAATCCAGAATCAACTCCTGAGAGTTGTATTCTGCCTTCCAGACACATGCTGTGGTGCACACGCCACACACACACACACCTGCATATATGAACTAGATTGACTTTTTATGGGGAGGTTCATTTATTTATGATGTATACAGCATTTTGCCTATGCCTGCACACCAGAAGAGGGCACCAGATCTCATTACAGATGGTTGTAAGCCACCATGTGGTTGCTGGGAATTGAACTCAGGACCTCTGGAAGAGCAGCCAGTGCTTTTAACCTCTGAGCCATCTCTCCAGCTCCCCTACTTCTGCCCCAGATTGACTTTATAAGGAGGTCAGCAACATAAAATATTTAGTGACAGGCCAATGACAAGGACCCAGAGGGACAATAGGGAAAGTCTGGCAAGGAGGCAAGGTGGGGAGACGGTGGACTTGCACCTTTGGGTGTCTTTCATGGAAGGAGGCTGGAATGGGGAGGTGAGACTCGGCATGGAGGAGACTCTCCTTCGGCCCAGAGGCCAAGTACTGCCCTCACTTAGCTGGCGGGCACCAAGGCATGTCTACCTGCACTTGGTTTTTTTTTTTTTTTTGTATCTCACTACAACTGCTCAGCCTCTCTCGTCACTATTGGGCTAAGCTGATGACCCTCCCTGAAGACAAAGAGGCAAAACAAACTCACAGTCTGCCTCTAAGAACACAGTTTTGTAGCAAGCAAACTCGCAGTAAGTATTCAGGGGAGGAATTTACAGTGGACAGGTGTTCCCTGAAGACAGTGAATAGTGCTGGGGGAGGGTTCACCGTGGCTTTCATTTTCATTTCTCTGGGTTTGCAATTCTGCGGTGGGCATTGAAATCTGGGTAATGTTGCTGTTGTTGTTGAGAAACAGAGCACTGTTTGGCCCCAGGTCTCAGCTGCATCGCCAAGTGAGGTACACCAGGGAGTTTTCTGAATGCCTGATTCTGAGTTTGACACAGAATCAGGCATTCAGAACACCAGCCCAGTTCAGGAGGCTGAAGCAGGAAGACCATGATTTCGAGGCCAGCCTGGATTACACAGGGAATTATAGGCCATCCTGAGTTTCACACTGAGAGCCTGTCAGAAAGAGAGGGTGAGAAAGAGAGAGAGACAGAGAAAGAACTGTCAATTTATGTGTTTCTGTGGATCTGGTTGGAGCCTGCGTAGCTGTTTTAGTTTTTCTTGTGGTCCTGGGAACTGAGCTGGGGGACTTGAAGGTAGCTTCCTTCCTGGGCTGGTTGGTTTGTTTTCAGGTCTTAGGTCTTGCTGTTGCCTAGTCCACTCTCAAACAATCCTCCCTCTGCCTCAGCTTCACAAGTAACTGGGACCCAGTGGCCACCACAACCAGCTTGTTCGTATCTGTTTATTTATATTGGCGCAGGACGCGAGACAGGGTCTCACTATGTAGCCCTGGCTGTCCTGGAATTCACTGTGTAGAACAGGCTGGTCTCGAGCTCATGGAATTTGCCTGCCTCTGCCTCCCAATCACTGGGATTAAAAGCGTGTACCACCACGATTGGCTTGGTTTTTTTTTAAGATTTTTATTTACTTATTATGTTACTATCAAGATATGAGAGTTAGTCAGTAACTAACTCTCTAGAGATAATGGGCCAGGCAGTGCTTAAATGAATACAATTTGTGTGTTGTTATTTCTGGGACTAAGCTAACCGTGCGGGAGCTGGGCAGGATGAAAAGCAGGCCTGCCCGCAGCCCCTTACAACAGCCCCTTACAACACCACCTCGTGGTGCTACAATACAGTATTCTCAGTATTCTGTCTGAATGTATGCTTGCAGGCCAGAAGAGAGCACCAGATCTCATTACATATGGTTGTGAGCCACCATGTGGTTGCTGGGAATTGAACTCAGGACCTTTGGAAGAGCAGCCAGTGCTCTTAACCACTGAGCCATCTCTCCAGCCCCCGATTGACTTGGTTTTTATATTAAATAATGTTTAAGGGCTAGAGAGATGGCTCAGCAGTTTAGAGCATACTGCTTTGGTAGAGGATTGAAGTTTAGTTCCTAGACCATCAGGTGACTGACTACGGCCTGTAACTCTAGTTCCAGGGGAACCCAATGCCCTCTTCTGGCATCCAAAGTCACTGCACTCACGTATGCAAACACATGCAGACACTTGCAAATACACATAATTTTTAAAAAATGTTTAAACAGTGAGGCGGTGTTGGCGCATGCCTTCAATCCCAGCACTTGGAAGCAGAGGAAGGCAGATCTCTGAGTTCGAGGCCAGCCTGATCTACAGAGCAAGTTCCGGGACTGGCTCCAAAGCTACAGAGAAACCCTGACTTGAAAAACTAAGAATAAACAAATAAAATAAATAAATGAATGAACATAAATAAATAAATAGTACAGCATTTCCAGAAAGTAGAAAAAGACAAGAGCTCCTGAGTAAATTGGGAGCATGGGGACCATGGGAGAGGCAAGGGGAGGGGCAAGAAAGAGAGGGGAGCGAGGAAAATATATAATTCAATAAAAACAATTTAAAAATGTAAGAAATACATCATTTCCATGCCCCCAGCCTCTCGCCCCATCCCTGACATTTTCTGTGCACTCTGTGCTCTATGAGATGCAAGTCCACCATAGATGATGCGGGTGAGAGTCGAGAGCTGAGCAGGACTGCGAGCCTCGCGGAACGTTCGGAGACGGCGACGGCCAAAGGTCTTTGGCTCCTCTCGGGCTCCCTCTGAGCTCTGGGGACATCTCCGCTCTGCTCATGTAGCCGCTGAGGTAGTGTGGGCCACCCTCACTACCTCGAGGTTTTTCTTTAGTCTGCCAAGTCCCTTTGGCTACATGTAGTCATATGGTCACCAGTTCTGTGCATCAGGAGGACATACCTCTGACAGACTCTATCCTGCTATCACGGAACTTCACTTTTAGTGACTGTCCTGGGGTGTGCGGGCATTCTCACTTGTCAGTGGCCCCTTGCTCTCCCTTCAGCCACCTACGGAAACTGGCAGGA